GTGTAAATTTCGCAAAACTTTGACCACAAAAGAATATTTTCATATTTCTCAGTTTATTTGAATAAACCCTATAGACAAATATTTACAAATCAAATTTAACTATAAATTAACCAGCTATAATTCAAATAAATTGAAACCCCTTAATCTCAATTTATTTGAATGAAAACATTATAAACAAATATTTACAAATCAAATTTAACCATAAATTAACCCAGTTATAAGTCAAATAAATTGAAACCCCCTAATCTCAATTTAATTGAATGAAAACATTATAAACAAATATTTACAAATCAAATTTAACCATAAATTAACTAGCTATAATTCAAATAAATTAAAACCCCCAATCTCAGTTTATTTGAATGAAAACCCTATAGACAAATATTTACAAATCAAATTTAACTATAAATTAACTAGCTATAATTTAAATAAATTAAAACCCCCAATCTCAGTTTATTTGAATGAAAACCCTATAGACAAATATTTACAAATCAAATTTAACTATAAATTAACTAGCTATAATTCAAATAAATTAAAACCCCCAATCTCAGTTTATTTGAATGAAAACCCTATAGACAAATATTTACAAATCAAATTTAACTATAAATTAACCAGCTATAATTCAAATAAATTGAAATATATGCATCGTAGGCACCTTATATATCCGTCTTTAAACACAAATGTGAAAAATATGATAGAAAAAGCAGATATCGTTTTTTCATTTTGGAAAGAATCTTGTAGATATATGGAAGTCAGACAAAGCATTTGAAAAAACTATCATACATTTAATTTAAAGGCAACAACTAAAAGCAAACAATAATTTCAATCAGTCTTTAAACTTCAGGCGCCTACTTTTAAATAGCGACTGAAGAAAACCAGGCCAGAGAAAGAACAGGAGAAATACAAAATCCAAAGGACGAACCAATAGATATTCAGAAAAACAGAGAGGGGAGAAGGAGTTATTAGGGAAAGAAATAAAGGTAAGAGAGATTGCATGTAGACTAAATAAATTTGTAAAACATGTGGGCTAACTTAACTAATGATAAGAAGGTCCTAAGGTATGTTACAGGTTTTAAATTAATCTTTAAAATACAAAAAAGCTTTCACAAAAGAATGTTTTCTCTTAGAGAAAAAACTAACCTAGATACGTCAAATAAACAAAAAAAATTGTATGAAAGAATGCAACAGGTGTTTGCTTACTAAAGAAAATTAGTCTGGTTCTCATATTTTTTAAGACCCAAATGAAATTATTCATCTAGATTCATCTTTAATAAATATATAGATTCTCGCATTTCAAACTGGAAGATCTCAGGTCTGCCCAGAATATTTTGTTACAGGACAATTTTATCAAAAATTAAATTAAAGAATGCCCCTTGTCTCATCTCAATACATAAAAAAATCAGGAAAGTACTTGAAAAAAAAAAATAACTTACGAATTTGAGTGTCTTACATTTGGTTTGACCATTTGCTCCATATGTTTTTGCAAACACTTTAAAACCGGTAGTACATCAACTAAGGCTTTTGGAAATAACCCTAATGATTTCCTAATTACATCTAAATCTAGTGATGAATGTCTTAAACATTGTAGTACAACGGTTAATTCTTTACAATCTCTATGACTCATCATAAAAAAAAGTGTTTTTATTTGAAGTGTGCAATAACTCGGTGTTACGTAGCTGATGCATTTCTTGTATAAGTACTAAAATTAGAAAGACCAAGCAGAAGGCATAGCGATTGTACCAAAATGGGAAACTCAACCATTCCATGTTACAAAAAAAAAAAAATAAATAAATTCTTTTTACGGTACATGTCAACATTAAACCTAGTTATTCACTGCAGCAAATCTTCATTTAGAACTCCTTATAACCAGAGTTCTTCGCTAGCTCTCATTTTAAATAGTCCCTAACTTTCATTATAGAAATTCTGAATAATAAAAGAAAATGTATATTAGGAAATTTCTAAAAGGGTCATCCAGTCTTGTGAAAATGTATTCAAACTTGAGACCAAAACACAGTTTTAAAATACTTCAATAGTTTCTTTCACTTGAAAAACTTAAAACAGCTGAGAGCCAAACTCGTGATGCAGCCCAACGGGTATAGACTTTCTCAAAAATTAAAGTTGAAAATGTCAAGGTGGAAGCTAACAATATACAAATTTTCATTGACGAAATGCTCAAACTTTAACTCCACAACAAGCCCAGCCTTTATTAGTATTTTCATTCTCCCACGAATTACCTCAATTTATGCTCGGCAAAAACAATTTTAATTTTATAGGGAAAAAGAAAAAAAAGTCTTACAGCTCTTTAGGACATTTTATTCTAACCCCTAACGCTCCAGTCCATCCAGTATCTCCCAAACTATTGGGTGGGTAGCTCAAGTATGTACCTCGACCGTCCTCATAATCTGCGTCAATATCGAAACCATTAGAAAAATTGTAGGGCAAAGAGGTCAGTAGTGTTAAACAAATTTTACAATTAAGACGTAAAACCAACGTTCGCAAAAGTATTAAAAAATTATAAAACTGAATTGTTAAAATTCAATATTATTTTTTGTTACGTTGTTTAATAATTAATTCATTAGTATTATTAATTATTATTGTTAATTTTGTGGAAAATTTATAGTAATATTTTGTTTGCATATTCTATTGTATACATTTACGTAGAAAGCAAAAATCTAGTTTTAATTTGAATAGAACATCCTCTAAACAACTACATGGTTATCTTTATTTCCAATAACAAAGATGTGAAGCATAATTAATGGATCAAAAACTTACCTAAAGAAAGTTCGATCTTAATTATGCGAGCATCCTTGTTAGTGGAAATAAAGTCCCACCTCCACCATATTTATATTATTTTTAACCCCAAACTCCTAGGCTCCACAACAGGTAATGAGTAATGTAGATAGAGAGTGACGTAAAATTTTAAATCTAAACATGTGGGTCAGCGGCGTAACATAGGTATACTACATGGTTATCTTTATTTCCACTAACAAGGATGCTCGCATGTATAATTAGGATCGAACTTCCTTCAGGTAAGTCGTTTGATTCATTAAATATAGAAACAAATAAGCTTTACGAGTATCTCCTGAGTTACGAAAAAATTATCTTTCTTGTATAGTTCGGGACACAATGAGAATGCAGTATGGCCATGCATAGGCGATGTATTTCTAATGGGAGACCGGCACACTGTATTGTAAGCAGCCCACAAGAGCATAATTTTCTGCTGTGGAGTCGCTAAAATGCTTAGCACCAAAATGATGGCGATCAATCGATAATCGGAACAATACTAGAAGTGCTCGATAGACTTGTTATGCATCCTCTCTCTTTCCTTGTCTAAGCCCTGAACTAAATAACCTATAATATTTTCTCTCTTTCTGCTTTTTTTAATTGAGTCATGTCTGAGCTTTATTCCTCTTAATTCAATATCGGCGTAAACTAAATGAATTGACATTAATCTCGTTTTTATACATTTTTTTTTTTTAGTTATTTTAACTTACTAAAGTTGGCTGCATTCTCTAAAATAGTTGGAAGAGAACCACTTCTACACTATAGGTTAGCGTGGAACATTTTTAGTGTGTATTTCTAATAATTTTAAAATGCAATTTCGGAAATATGACACTGAAGGTACCATTTCGGTAGGCGCGTAAGGAGACAAGAGACCATCAAGGCGACCCTAAGGACGACAGATGCATAAATGTTTACGCTTCGTACATTTCGGAAGCTTAGAGAAGTGTCGCGCGACACTTGCAAATAATCATTCGAGGGAACGATTAGAGTTGCCAAATCTACTGTTTTTATGTAGATCCACTGTTTTTGTCTCTAGCAAATTTTGTTCTTAATTTATTAAGTTTGCCTCATTCTTCAGCAAATGGTTAAAGAATATTTTCTCTAGTAAATTTTCTGCAGTAAAAACAGCGTAATAAGGCATCCACTACTGTAGGTTGGATCCATAAAAAAAACATCAAGATAATCATTGTTTTTATTTAAAATGAAACAAAGAATTAATAGGGCAAGAACATGCATATGCCAAACACTACGATTTTGAATTACCTGATTTAATCTGATCTAAAAGAAGTAGGTACCTATTATTTTTCATTGTTTTTTTTTTTGTTTCCGTACGTTAAGTATATATTAAAAATGTTATTATTTGTTTTTATTTTTTGTTTACCTTCTAATTTGAAAAAAAGTTTATTTTTCGTTTCTTATATACTTTTGTTTTTTTATTTACTACACTGCAAATTTTAATTATTTCCCCCTGTATTAAAATCTACTGTTCAGATCTACGGTTTTTTTTTCACCCATACTGTTCCAAAATCTGGCAACACTGTCTAGATTGAAAGAAATTTTCAACGTAATCACCTCCAAAATGAAGCGATACTCGAGGACAGTGACCTCGAGTGCGACACGCAGCAAACCTTTGCCCTGAGACAGATTAAGAAGTGTCGTCAGGAAGTGTCGTCTTGACGACACTTCTCGTGTCGCGCCGTGCGAAATGTGTTTCATATAATTGTATGTATTTTATATGTAAAGCGACACTTCTTGGTCGCGTCGGCGGTCGTCTGTCGCGGCTACCGAAATGGTACCTTGAAGAATCCCCAATTTCTCCTACGAAATTATGAAAATTTTACCCCCATATTCCCAAAGTGAGAACAACAAAAAAAATTGAATAAACTGAGGATTAAAGAATATCAACCGATTTTTCTCTTAACTTTTCTTTCATTAAATTTTGAAATAATTGTTCATTACTTATCATTCAATATTTTGACAAAAATTCAATATTCCAGAGTTAAATATAGTATAAGCAGATCATTCTTAAACTAAATTTAACTACATGTTTAATTTAAAAACTGTATTTCAAATCCATAAATTTTTTATATTAACCTTGTCTGCGTATGGACATTCTCTATAGTAGACTTCATTCTGTCTTTTGTCTTCGACAACATTAATAATCGCGAAATAATAAAACACATTAATTTCTTAAAAAAAAATAGTTTATTTTCATTTGTCACCGTATTTGCTAAAAACATATTTATAATAATATAACGAAAATTATGTACAATAATAGTATAATTCATTTATAAAAAAATAGAAAATAATTTAACTGGATCATATCCAGTTACAATAATAGTATAATTCAGGTATAAAAAAATAGAACATAATAAACTGGATGAGATCCAATTATGAGAAATATTATAGGCTTTTCCAATTATTGATGGTTAATTTAATATTTATTTACCCCTTTCAGTAAAAAGTGTGTTATATGAAATTGTATATCTCAACAAGTTTGTTGTAAAAATACTTAAAATTTGATTCATTGCTTAATTTTTTTTGGACTCATGGATTTAAGATATATAATACAAAAATCCAATAAATACTTTTTAAGCTGCAATTAATAATTCAGTTTTATTAAAAAATGTATTGATAGCAACCTCAAGCCATATGTAATGATTTTTCTCAACTTATAATAAATATAGCTTTGGTTGATTTCATTTTCATTTGTTTTAATAAAGGAATTTTAAAATAATTCTAAATGGATTGTCAACATAAATGGATATTCAGTAGTATTTACTGTTTTCTCTGGAAAATGTACAATCAAATTCAGAGGTACCTACTGTGTTCACTATAATTAAATTAAATATTTAATTAACCAATAACGTTTAATAAATCACATTCAATGAATCTAAATATTAGAAACACTAATAAGGCCCGCTCTGACCTGGTGGTCCGTACTGAGTTGACGGTCTTCCTCCGATACTTCCAGTACCAACTCCTATGTTACTAATACCACTTGAACCTGTTTGAATAGAACTTCCAATATTGCTTCCACTGCTACCGGTTTCGATAGGTCCACCAATGCCAGTTGTTCCTCCTATGCTACTTCCAGAAGTACCAATACTAGTTCCTCCACCTACAACCTCATTTTTAGCCTTATATTTAATGAAGTAAACTTCAGGTTTCGAGGGTTGAGTTGGTGCTATTGTTGGTATGCTAATGTCAGCACCTGCTTCTGGTTTCTTAACCAATACGTAGATAATGGTTTTTTCTTGATTTTGAGCAGCTAGAGCAATGGACTGAGCAGTAGGTGCTGGCGCCGAAGGAGCCTTAATGAAAATGATTTTGTAATGTTTGGTAGCTTGGCCTACTGAGATGGGCCCTTGTGGTCTAATTTCTTCGGGTTCTGGTGGGGCTACGTGTACGTAGATATGTTTTTGAACAAGCACTCCTCCACCTCCTCCGCCACCGATACCTCCTCCAAATCCACTTCCTCCAAGTCCGCCTCCTCCAATCCCGCCTCCTCCAATTCCGCCTCCTCCAATTCCGCCTCCACTAATTCCTCCTCCGCTGATTCCCTCACTAATACCGCCTCCACCAATGCCTCCTCCTATGCCACCGCCTCCAATTCCTCCTCCGATGCCTCCTCCTCCAATGCCTCCCCCTAGTCCACCTCCTCCAATTCCTCCCCCTAATCCGCCTCCTCCAATTCCACCTCCAAATCCTCCTCCACTTGGTGCTCCATAATTACCACTTGGTAACTGAGAAGGAGTTGGGTAATTATATTGTGGTCGAGCTAGAGTGACAGTGAAGAGGGTTGCGGTGACCTGGAACAAATATTGTCAATATTAAATGGTGTTTCCATAAAAATTCTTTAGTAATATGTATAAATCTCAGTACAGTAAGGAGATGACATCATCTGATATGTCATATCACTTTAGTCACTATGAAATTTTGATATTTGTTTGTGTTTAAGTACATGTGTTTTTCTTTAAATACTTATGATAGATAACATTATAAGAAAAACGTTATACCAAACAATGAAGAAAATAAAAATACCCACAAAAATAGTAAAACCAGTCCAGATGACATTAAACAAAATTAGTAATAGGATTAGAGTAGAACTAAGCATTTAAGATAGCTTCCAAATATGACAAGGAAACCCACTTTCAACTAATCTGTACAACCTGTTTTTAGAAGTAATTGGGCGAGAAATACAAATTAACAAGTTTGACAGGAGAACTGGAATAGCAATTTGTGCAACGAGAGTGGATATGAGCTACTAAGGAAAATCTATGAATTAAAAAAATATATTTTAGGTTATAATGATAAAATAACTAATTTTAAAATAATTTATGATTTTTATTAATTTATAAAATCAAATAAACATGAAAAAAATTAGTCCCTAGACCAGATTCGAACCCGGGCTATTCGCGTGTAAGTCAGATGCACTGTCCACAGCTCCACCGACACTTTTAAGATTTTAGTTTTAATACTCGTAATTAAACTAGTTTCATATAGTTTTATTAAGTTTTTTCTTAAAATGTGGCCGAAATAAAAATATTATTATTTATTCTAAACAAAAATAACTCATTGTATATTTAATCTCAATAACTAAAATATATACTGACATTTAGTATGATAGAACTCTCTTATTTATAATTTTAAAAATAATAGCAATTGTAGAGGGGGGGTGGCTCAGTGGTAGAGCCTCTGCCTGTGGATCCAAGGGTCCCAGGTTCGAATCCCACCGTTAGCCGGGATTTTTTTATTTAATTTAATTATTTAAAATTAATTCTGATGCCTTGGTAGGATTCCCCACTCAACCATTCACTGTTGGGTTCTAATTAACAGTACTGTTCCTCAAATGGCGCTATGAAACACTAACGAAGCCTACACAGAACACGAGGATAATGACCTTAGCAGTCGATGCCGATGACACCAAAAAAAAAAAATTGCAATTGTGTGTTCAAAATATAAACTGTGATTGGTGAATTTCATTTTTTGCAGTGTTTTCTATACCTACAATGGATATGAAATATATTCGTTCAGTTGAATGCAATAGCATACTTTTTTGTTTTGTAATCTGTACATAGATAAGCTAATATCTGTGTGGGTACTAAAAACTTTTATGACAGTAGAGGAAAAATCAAAGAAATATGAGTTAAGAGATAATAAATAAAAGACAAAATATCTAGTAATAAAGAAACCTAATTAATACCATCACATTCAGATGGATGGCTCAGCTGTTATCTACGAGAACTGCAGAGACACAGATAGGGCAGGACACCATCTCCATCTGCACAACCAGAGGATGTCCACGAGGACTAGAACATACCAAAAGATGGTGCCGTGAAGAAGAACTTGGTATAAACCCTACAAAAACAACAGTAGTAGCCTTCTCAAGGAAAAGAAAACATAATCTCAAAACCGTTATATTAGACGGGATAGATATAGGATGGAAAAATGAAGTCTAGGCCTAACCCTAGATAACAAACTTCTCTGGAACATACATGAGAAGGAAGAAGTAAATAAGGCCACAAAAGCCTTAACGGTATGCAGAAACATTGCGGATAAACGATAGGGATGTAACCCAAACATACTGCGATGGCTGTATTCGCTCCGTGCGCGACAGCAGCGCCAATTTGTTTTGGTATTAAAGGAGTATTTCTGCCTATACTGACAAATACAATTTTTAATAGAATTCGTAAATAAAAAGTATATATGTTAGTTTTAATAAAAGTATATGGATTTATAAAACAATTAAAACATTAATTTATTATTATTATATATTTTTCACGCTTAAATTGAAGAAAATTATGTATAATCATTAAAAATCAATAATAAAATATAGGCAGGCAACAGTATTTACTGGAAAATGTATGAGAAGTTGCCTAAGTCTAATAAGTTGTCATTGAAGAAACCATTTATAATAGCGTGAAGTTAAAATGTATAAAAAGGATCGCTACTTATATTTTCATTTTTGTTCTAAAGAAAACATAGAATGAATGATTAAAACTGGTTTCCGATCAGTAAGTCACAAAATTGCATACCAGCCAAATATTATAATCAACGGCAGAAATCTTGAAATCTAGTCCTTGCTGAATGAACATTTAAGAATAAAGGGATATTAAAGAACATCGTAAAATGATAATTTATTGTTTATTTAAAAACTTTCTAGTTTCTGATGTCTACTATTTCCAGCATTACTGTTATTATCACAAAAATAAAGGTAATTTTTCTTCTTATTGTACACCTATCCATTTATTTCTTTGATTTAATTTCCACTTTGTTAGTGAAATTTGTTATATAAGTTTCACTGTTTTTTTTTTTGCTAGTATTTGTACAATTTTCAACACAGCAACTCCGGTTGCTTATTGTGTTGTTTTTACCTACTTTTTTGAAAAAAAGTAAAATGTATACGTGTATTTGATATGCCAAAATTACAAAATATCCCCCTAAAATGCACGAATTAACCGCAGCTAGCGCTAGTATCGCTTTTGCTTCCCTTTCCATGACTTCGCACGGAGCGAATACTGCAATCATCACTTACGGGGCTATAGCCTGGAGTAACAGAACCAGTTTAGCTACTACGAGAGCTAATAACTCAAAAGTACAAAGACTAGCCTGTGTTTGCGTTACTGGTGCAATGAGAACCTGCCCTACGGCCGCAATGGAGATGATCTTAAACCTCGCCCTTCTACATATGATGATAGAGAATGTGGCAAAAGGACACGATATAGAATGATCAGGAACGGAGTAATCAGACGAAAGTCTTCAGGACTAAAGATACCTGGGACATGCCCCATGATGAAATGCTAAAGAAGTACAGTTTTGTAAAAACTTCAAAACCGCAGAGCTGGGCTGCAAGAAAGAATGGAGCCAAGAATCCATCTCGCTTGCAACCATAAGACATGCTTTTCAGTGGTATACGGACAGTTCCAAAACCATAGAAGGAACTGGAATAGGAGTGTATGGGCCGAGAACCAAGCACTCTGAAAGCTTGGGAAAATACCCAAGCATCTTCCAGGCGGAAATTCACGTCATCGAGAAGTGTATCTTGTTTAACGTCGAGAGAAGCTATCATAGACAAGAGATTATCATCATGTCCGATAGTCAAGCAGCCATTAAAGCGCTGAACTCTTACGTTATCAGCTCAAAAATGGTCTGGAGATGCCTAGAAAAATTGAATGAGCTATGCGAGAAAAATAGAGTTACTCTCACTTGGATCCCGGGATATAACGGGGTATATGGTAACGAGATTGCAGATAGTTTTGCAAGGAAAGGTGCTCAATCACCCTTTGTAGGACCTGAGCTGTTCTGCGGTATCAGCAGTAACATAATATTAGGAGAGATTAAAAAATAATTGGGCAGTACAAGAACCGATAATTGGAACAATCTCTTGGGGCGGAGACAGACTACGATACTTCTGGGTGAATATAACCAGAAAAGATCGGAAGCCTGCATCTGCCTGAGCAAGAACAGGCTACGTATTGTAACAGGGATCCTTACCGGGCATTGCCGACTAAAAGGACACCTTAGTAAACTGAGGAGGATAGTGAGTGCAGATTCTGCGAGTAGGAGGGCGAAATTTCCATTCACATTCTAACTGAATGTGTAGCACTCCAGAATCCAAGGGCACTATATCTAGGAGGATATCAAATAGAAGAAAGAGATTTACCTCACTTGAAGCTACTCCAAATCCTACACTTTCTTGAGCAAATAGGATTGGAAGGGTCGTTATACGCATTGAGATATTTCTTTGGTGCATTAGCGACAAAAGAGGACACCATATATCTTTTAGGTCGCAGTGTATTAACACCTTATTCCCAACATAACATAACGTAACATAACATACCAAAGTCTTTACTACAATTCCTTTGGTTAAACGTTCTGTCTCTCCACAAACTAAACAAATATCTTATGAACGTGAAAATGAGTTATATCCTCTTTTTACTTGATATTTATTTTGTCTGATAATGGCCATTGGCCGAAATTAGTTGTCCTTGCATTAAATTTAATTTTTAATTGTGGTAAAGTCTTTGTATTTTCCCCCTTTACAGATTATTCCACATAAGTCAAATGGATAACTTGTGATAAATACTGTTTGGAAAAGGTTGAGAAATTTAAGTATTTAAGAGTGACTTTGACAGAGGACGGGAGCAAATAATAGATAAAGAAAATAGGGCAGTTGGGGTACCTCAGCGAATCCTGAAACAAAAAACAATATCAAGAGCAGCAAAGATATGAGTATATAAAACGATAACCTGGATAATGATGAAGTAAGGAGAATCAAAGAAGATGGTAGTTGGAGAAGCGACACAAGTAAAGAATTACGAGCATTGATCGGACAACCGTCAATAATTTAGGAAATCAAGAAGCAGAGGTAATGGATAGTACATATATTATGAAGGCAGGTGGATTAAGACAATTGTGAAACAAGGAATTAAAAATTGGAAATAAGTGGTTTAAATGCGAAATATATAATAATTAAAAAAAAAAAATTAAAAGTCATGGGATGAGAGTGGGTAGAGGTTTTCCGGATTTCCTTCATTTGTCACCCAGAAACGCCACGGAAAATAATAATATCCGCCCCTTCCCCACACAAGTTCAGTCGGCTTCAGAGGTGCAAACTCACTCATAAGAGGGTAATTTAGAGAGAATACTTTAACAGAAATTTTAAAAATTCGTAAAAAAAAACTTAAAAATATACCTATTAATTATCAAGACCATCCCCGAACCCCAAAAGTGAAAACCAATACTTGTAGATTTGAAAAAAGTCTGTCCTGGCCGGAGTTGGAACCCAGACATCTTTGTTTTGTGCACA